TACTACTTTCATTGATTTTCAAAATTAAATGGAAGTACAAAAGATTCACTTAAATCAGTCACTGATATTAATTCTATACCAATGCATAAATACAAAAAAGCCTACATTATTTGGAATCTGTTTAAAAATTTGTCTATGAAAATATTAATCTTGAGGTTGGAAATGTTTAGGAGTTATATTTCAAAGTTTTCTCTTTTTTATATATTCTTAAATACATTTTTTCTGTGCAAATACACTTTTCGTAATATGTGAGTATTTGTAAGCGCAAAACAATAAATTCAAAATTTCATGTGACATTCCCGGATATTCCCATATAACCTAAAATATTCCCAAATGGAATATTGATCTACTTTAATTAAATGTTTGCATGTTGATAATGACTTATCGATAGGTTATGGTACACACACTAAAGAAATCCGCCATTTGTTCGTTCAATTTTTGTTTAGGTATGCACGTTCATTCCATAGTTAGGGCACCTCCTTTCTTTTATTTTTTTCCATCCTCTAAGCAAATTGGGCTTGATGCTACTTTTATTGAAAACATTATGTCACTAATATCATGACGCATAGCAAGTGGTAAGAGATGAAGTTTTTTAAAGAGATTGTAATAATTGGCAAATCGTAACAGTCTTTTTATATGATAGCACAGACAACTTGCTTTTGTACATTTTCAAGCCGCGAAACGTAACTATGGCATACTCTAAAGCGAACTTCATTCCTTTAAAGCACAAATTAACCAAACACTATTTTTATATTTTTTACCTACGCAAAATCTTCGGCACAGCGCATAATAAATGTCAATATGCGAGTTAAGTAATAATTTAGAATCATGTACAACTCTCAAATCTCCTACAGCAGATTGGCCTTGCAGAATCACACTTCAAGAGAATAATTACATAATATAGTTGCGTTTGTGACCGAAAGTAACCAAGTAACACTTTGATGGATTAAGATCCAGGTCGTTGATTTCACAGTACGCTTCAAACCTATCCTAATCAGACTGCAAGGCCGCCTTCGTCTCGTGTCTTCACATGACCAAATGTTTTCATATCGTCCGCAAAGCAAAGTAGATGTGAGTGCTTAAAGCATAGGTTGATATCACCAATAAAAATAACAAGTAATAGTGGACCAATAATAGTAATAGTGGACTTTAAACCAACTAGATATATGATTACTGTCTACTATTGCCTGGGATCTACTATTGATGTAAGACGAAAACAATCTAAGAAGATCACCACAAATACCGATAGTATAGGCAGTGAAATTAGTGTCTCGTGATTGATCCTGTGAAACGCTTTACTGTAGTTGCTATAAATGACATTTACTTGCCCTCCCAAGTCCACCGCTTTCAGAAGAAAGCTGTTAAAGAAAACCAGGTTAGAAACAGAGCGCCACTGGAGAACCGAGTTGATATGGGCAAACGGAATGATTTAAAGCGGTTTAAACTTGGTTATAAACGGCTTTCTGATTTTCTCAAAGACCTTGGATATGATACAGAGTTTGAAGATTGGTTTGTAGCAAGACACATTGGCCTTGTTACCGTTTTTAAAGAATGGCTTTACTTAGGCTCTCTTCCAAACATCTGGGACAACACCCTTTGTTAGAGATTTTATAAATAGCATGGTGATTGGGCAGGGCAATATTGTTAGAGCACTTCATAAGAAAAATAGCTGGGACCTGATAAGGCTCAGCTAATTTAGTGGGATAGAGTTGATAAGTAACGAAGTTTAAATATCTGTTTTATTGATTACTGTTTGTGCAAAATGTAATTTAGCTATTTTTTATTGCATGGTAAAAAAAAATTCGTTATCTCTAATTATATTAAGTATCAACACAATAGTTCTGAATCCACATGACTGAATTATCTTCGTAGGCTTTATTTAATGTTTCTTACTTTTCCTGTTGTTAATTTATTACCTGTTAGTAGCAGCAGAGCGCCTTGTGAAAAAGTTCGTACAGGAAAGTACTGCCACCTTAACTATTTCTCCCGCCAAGCAGCAATCTGAGCATTTACTGGCATATGGGACTTGTCAACTTATATTTCAGGGTGACGGGCGCAGTGGCAGTGCCCCTAAGATCTTTGCGATTTAAAGCTCTGAGTGGCACTGCAACGGTTATGGGTAGGCGTGTCGCTTAACACCAGGCGTATGACGTTGACGTTACATTTAAAATCCAAATGGCCTATATCTTTTTGTAACATCGTACGCGTTCATTATATTCAATATATCTTCTGATTTCATCGCACATCACATAAACAAATGGTGAATTATTTCGCACAGTATCAAACGTCGTGTTGTGTTGGTATACACTGAAGTCGCTAAGTATTTTGCGAAGCAGGCGAACTTTTCTAATTCCTATATTTTCTTTCCAAGGAATATCTTCAATGCGTCTCTTGTTAAAAAAAAATCTTACGGAGTTGAAAGTATAAGTTTATAAGTAACTTATTTCTTGTTAATGTCAAGAAAATAATTTGAAAATAAAAAAAAGCAAGAATTATAAACAGAGTGATTTTTATGTGGAATAGGCAAAAACTAAATAGAATGTTGTAGTAATTGTTTTAAAAGGAGAACAAATTTTAGCTTCAGCAGACAACGGTTGTACATAAATAGACTCGATTGATATTTATTTTTGGCACCTCTGATGGAATCCTGTATTTTTAGAATTTGTCGAGGTTTGTAATTTGTAGGTAGGTTTGTAATTTTACATAAAATGTCACCTTGCTATTTATAATGCGAGTTACAGTAAGTATAGAATAATTTTCATAATATGAAGCTAGAAATTTAAAATAGAATTATTTATAAATACATGTTTTCAATGGCATAATATTACATTAAATTACAATATCTATGAATAACACAATCGTCAGTAATTTTTAAATGATCAAAGAACGGAAAGGCTGCAGGCGTGAATGACTTAATGGTTGAGCAAAGTAAACATCTCGGCACACTATCAATGACTTAGCTTCTAGAACGTTTCAACAACAGATCCGAAACTGTTGGACAAACAGGAGGGATTCAGACCCGGAAAGGATTGCTGCGATCAGGTTCTCGGGCTCACCCAGCATACCGAAGATGACTTCGACAGAAACAGTGTAATAGGCTTGGTCTTAGCTGACGTAATAATTGCTTACGATACTGTTAATATACGAAAACTCTTACGAAAAGTCGAATATCGTGAGTTTTTCATAACCGCCGCTTCCAGGTTCACTACTTCTTAGAAAAAAGAGATGGCGCTGCATAAAAATGGGACTTCCCCAAGGGAGTGTCCTTGCTTCCACTCTTTTCAACATGTACACAAATGATCCCAGCCCAGCAGATCATTTACAACATGTTTCCTACCTCCTTAGTCCTCGCGTACTTGTCAAAGAACAATATGGCGATGATCATTAAGTCCTGATTTTTAAAAAAACTCTAAGTTGCCATTATGACCGGGTGTTCTTTAAAAAGGACTAATTAGTTTTTTTTAGAAAAAAGCAACCACAATCATCATACTAGAACAGGTAAAAATATTATGAAAGACGTCTGTCTTTCTCTTAAAAATCAAAAGTGATATAATATGACATGATAATAATAATATGATAATAAACCGCCATGTTTCAATAATTATTCGGCCTCGAGCAGGTGACAATGGCGGCTCGCCGTAAACAAGGTACATAAATCAATGAATTATATATCAATTTTTTATTTATTTTTGAATATTTGTTTGCTTTTTATACTTCCAAGTATGTGTTTAATCATAATGTTGTATTCTTTTCTTTTCAGCAAAAACGTAGATGATGAAATTGTTGTTTGTAAAGTGTGTCCGGTTATTATCTGGTTAATTCACTTCAATTTGTTCTACTGTCCTTTCTAAAATAGATAATAATAAATTATGTTTTTAATTATAACTATTTTATTAAAAAAAGGAACATCAAAGTTTGCTTATCGGCTTTTTTATTGGAATTACTTCTATTTTGCAAAGTTTTATTGAATTCGGTTAACGGAAAGTGTCCAGTTTCATCCCCATCCATAGTTTGCCACCCTTAGAAGTGAAATATTTTCTTCAATTTTAAATAGGACTAATACTGAGACCAATACCCTCTTTCTAACAGAAAATAATCATGAAAATCGGTTCACAATTCGAAGTAATCTCGTAACATACTACTGCCTACACACAAAAAAATATATTCGAATTGAGAACCTTCTCCTTTTTTGAACCGGGATAAAAAGACCTTTCACTTTTATAATTTGTATTTTTAATCTGTAAAACAAGATAACGAAATCAATCAGATTTTAAATGAATCTGAAGTAGAAGATGCAGACGATGATGTGAATCCCATATACGAAGAACCTGATATCGACGATTTGAGAAACGACGTAGAAGAAAGTGATACCACCAGTACTGAGCCAGAAATTGAATATAGACGCAAAGTTTTATTAAGTTTCAAAAATATTTGTTCAGTTAGAGCTTGATGTTTTTTTATGTTTTTTAGATTCTTTGATTCTTGGTCAAAATTAACTAAATAACTATAACGACTATTAAAACTTCTAAGAATAAGTGAATTGTTATTTCTTATTTTTGAGTAAAAATGCTTTATTTATCTTACTGTACTGATTGATCTCAATGATAATTTGACCATAACTAACATGTAAGGTCCTTAAGTCTCCAGATCTCATTGGTATTTAGATATTTTATGGGAAACCCTTGTGATATTACTTCGAAGTGCCTTTTGATCTTAAAATATACTTTATTTTGTAGAATTTTTTGCTATTTTTGATGGGTATTAATTCAATTCCTTTTTTTTACGGTATTGCTACATTATTAATATACTTTCTCGTGAAATATTTACCTTGTAAGACTGAAAAATATAAGTGTTTTTTACTAAGATAGATATTTTAATTCTACTTCTTTATGATTATATTAAGACCGGGTGTACTTTAGAAAGAACAAATATATTTAGGGCACTTTTAAGTTTATGAATAATTTTCCTTTCATATTTATAAAAAAAAACTTTTGTTCCAGGAAAAATGTGTGGAACAGTTTAAAGTAGTTTATACTGGACCTCAATGTTCAGGACTCACAGGTAATACAAATTTTTTGCTATGTAAAGAACATTTGGTCATAATGACACATGTTTTTTTAACTCAGGAGCATATGCGGACTACCACACATAGGACAGAGCTTAAAAAAAAAAGGTAGCTCTGGCAACCCAGACACGAACATGGCCAGACCAAGGACAACCTGACTTCAACTTTGGATGAACTGGGAACGTATTATGATGCAAACGGTGTCAGGCCCAACCTATCAAAAACCCAAACGTATGCTTTCTATCTGTGCAACTATCAGATCAACCGAACGCTGAACATCACCTGGCAAGGAGTCAACACATATTCTTTGACACGGGACAGTTAATACCTGTATTGTTTTTGTGGTTGCAAATTTTTTATTATAAATTACTTTTAGCTTTTCCTATATGATTTAAACTAAATAAATAGTGAAATAATTACGAATATCATAACTGTGAAGTATTAAATTGAGAAAAGAGTGCATAATAAGTGAAATATTTGTTAAAAACGGTGTCGCGTTGGCGAACAAGTGTGATATTAGTCGCGTCATCTCATTGGTGCATTCACGCGAGTCTCGCGGTTGTGTGTTTGCCATTCGGGTCATATTTGCGTGAGCAAGCGCCCCCCAGCTCAACAAAGTTGTTTGAGCATAGATAAAGCAACACAGACTCGTCGTGTTAATTTTAACCTACAATTGCCTCTGAGCGGTCATATATCGAAATCATCAATAAATCAGTTTCGTCCGTCAGCACCGGGCCGTACACACATATATACCTTATTGGTGACAACCGGTGACACAGTGTTTTAAGTACAGTGCCTTATAGTGCTGACACTGTGCTCATCGTGAGCGCGTAAGCGACGTGTTTTTTCCAACGTGGGTGACTCGGAACGCGCCGCTTTCTTGCTGCAGTGTGCATACATACTGTGCCAGCTGTCCAGCCGGTCAATTATCTACGAATTATCTGCGAACTCGTGACTTACTTACATTATGCCTCTCCGTCGAACCCCGCCTAAAAAAAAATTACAGGGATCGACATCAGATCTAACCGATGATAGCACCAAAGATGAACTACCTAAAGATGAACTACCTAAAGGACAAACACAAGGGACAAACATCACCACCCGGCCAAAACGCAAAGCGCGGGAGGAAGTAAAAGATGAATTGAGGTCATTCATGGAAGAAATAAAGGGGATCGTACACGAGATCAAGTCCCAAAACAATGAAATTAACACCGAACTCACCTCAATTAAATCAGCTATATCTGACATCCGCTCCGAAATCAGCTCTGTCAGAGCTGATTACCGTGATGCGATGAATTCCATTGCAGATATCCAGTGCAGGCAGGTCGAGATGTCTAAGGAGTTCGTGGACTTAACAAAATCTATAGAATTTTATCATGCAAATCAAAATGATTTTCAACAAAGACTGGAAAAATTAGAGACCTCCATGAACGCAGGGCAGAGTTCGGGCTCGGAACTGAAAACCATTTCAAACACTATTGAGACCCTAAAAACAGAGATTCGTCAACAGCAACAATGGGAGCGTCTAATGAATTTGGAAGTGTCTGGAGTACCTGAGTCGAATAGTGAAGAAGTAATTGACATTATTACACGCATCGCTGATCATGCTGGAGTAAAACTAACTCGAGATAATGTAATACACGCTACCAGGGTCCAACCTCGTCAAAATGTTTCTGGTCGTCCGAAAGTTATTATCGTTAAGCTAAAGAATCGGTATTTAAAAGACAACATTCTTGCTGGATTACGTAAAACGAGGGGAGTGACAACGCACGACATCTATATTCCTGGTGAACCTAGACGTATTTTCGTCAACGAACATTTAACTATTGATAACAAATTATTATTTAAAAAATGCCGTGAGTTTGCAAAGTCAAAATTTTATCAGTTCACCTGGGTAAAAAACTGTCGTATTTACATGAGGAAAGACGACACATCCCCTGCCATTTATATCAAACACGACTCAGACCTGTACAAACTTCACTGAACTCTTCTTATATAAATCTTATGGTTACGTTCAATATCCTCAAATTAATATACTTAGCAATGTGTTTTTCAGTATTTTGCTATTATGTTATGGCTGGTCTGTTGAATATCTTAATCACAAAAGAAACAACCACATTAATTACTATATCTAGATACAGCTTCAATATTTATATTCGCATTCTAAATGATCATTTAACCTTTTTCGACTCGTTAACTTTTTTACTTCACACATACACACTACACACTACACACATACTTCACACATACACACTACATATAAACACACGCACGACTGCACAATATTGTATCATATGTAGTAGTATAAAATACAATTTTCCCTTTCCTCCCTTTTACTACAATAATTATATAAATCACCGAAATACCTTCAATTTACTTGATATGTCTAGTTCTGCACAAGATAAACTAAAAAGATCTGCAATTGGTTACAATATGTACTTTGTTTCTTATACAATCAGTTTTATATACATGGATCCTAATTATATAAAAAATGGCGTCTCATAAACTGAATATTTACTTCCAAAATGTGCGAGGACTTCGTACAAAGACTCACAGCTGCTTTAATAATATTCTTTCAACTAACTACGACATTATTATTTTGGTTGAGACATGGCTTTGCGCCGGCATATATAACCGCGAATTGTGTGATGACCGTTACCATGTTTTTCGTTTTGATAGGGATACAAAAGCTACAGGAAAAATCATTGGTGGCGGTGTAATGATTTGTGTTCGCCGTGAATTCACCGCTCAGTGTCAATATATAGACAATGCAGTAATCGCACCTACCGAAATACTTTGGATCTCAATTTCCTCGACTGCATTAAAAACTAACTTTAATCTTAATATTGTTGGCACGTATATTCGTGGTAACTATGAAAACCAACCAACGGATATTATTAACCTATCTAATTTCTTAGAAAACGTTCTCCTTACCAACAAAAGTTCAAACACCAACTCTGACAAATACATCATAGCCGGCGATTTTAACCTACCCTTCATTCAATGGGAAGACGGTGAATATAATTTCTGTCATAAGGGTGAATCATTAGAACTACGTGAATTAAGCAGAGGTTTAGTTAATACCCTCACATTATGCGGTCTTATGCAACACAACAATTTTCAAAATTCTAGTGGAAATGTTCTCGACTTAATTTTTAGTAATTTCAATATCGAAGTAAATATTGTTACACATCCCCTATCCAAAGTAGACTTATATCATCCACCACTCCACCTGGATGCATCTGATATTACTACCCTGCCCTTTAATAATGCCACAATAACTAAAATACAATATCACAAGGGAAATTACGAAAAAATTAACAAAACATTATGTGATATTGATTGGCAAACGGAAATAGATAACAGAAGTGTCGATGACGCGGTCGCTTTCTTCTATGAATCACTATACGAATGTATTCACTAATATATCCCCACAAAAACTATTAAGAAAGGAAAAAAGTCATATCCATCGTGGTACTCAAAAAGCCTAGTTAACATTATGCGAGAAAAGAACAAAGCTCATAAAATATGGAAGAAATATAATAACAGAAGAGATTATGATGAATTCTCGATACTTAGGGCCAGATATCACAAAATACATGCTGCGTGTTATAATAATTATATCTCCTCGGTTCAACACTCGATTAAGAAAAACCCAAAAAGCTTTTGGTCTTTTGTAAAATCTAGAAAAGATGGCAATACTTACCCCCAATCTTTCACCTACGATAATAAGACATTGCAAGAAGGTCCAGATATTGCGGATGGTTTTAGTAGTTTTTTTTCAAAGCACGTTCAGCCTTCCAGCCAGTAACTATAGACCTCAAGAGTTATTAGCACCACAAATTTCTAGTGCCAACAATATATCAGGTCTCCATGTGGATGAAAAACAACTGTTTAAAGTGCTTTGTAGTACTGACCCCAACAAAGGAGCTGGTGATGACAAAATACCCTCAATATTTGCTGTTAAATGTGCTAAATCTCTCACACGCCCTTTGGCACTGATTTTTAATAAATCTGTTAAAGAAGGCATTTTTCCTAACAAATGGAAAGTTGCCAGAATTGTCCCAGTTCATAAAAAAGGTCTCCAATCTAAAGTAGAAAATTATAGACCGATATCTATTCTTAACGTCTTCAGTAAAATCTTTGAAAAACTTATTTATAGCGCCATTTATCCTCTTATTGCTCGTAGCATCCCACAGGAACAGCACGGTTTCTTGAGGGGTAGATCTACTATTACAAACTTAACACTGTTTTCAAAATTTATAAGAAATAGTATGGAATCCAAATGTCAAATTGATGTAATATATACTGACTTCGAGAAGGCCTTTGACCGGGTCGATCATTTTATCCTTTTAGCAAAACTTCACGTTTTAGGTATACATGGTGATCTTTTGCGTTGGGTTAAGTCCTATCTTACCAATAGATCTCAAACAGTTGTCATCGGTGGCTACAGATCGGACTATGTCAGTATCCCCTCTGGCGTGCCCCAAGGATCACTCCTGGGTCCACTGCTCTATAATGCCTTTTTATATGACATTTATACTTGCATATCACACTCTAAATTTCTCATGTATGCCGACGACACAAAAATATTTCGTGCAATTAAAACTGAAGATGACACCAAATTTCTGCAGAATGATATGAACTGTTTAGTCGAATATTACAGAAGAAATAGAATTGCAGTTAATATTAATAAGTGTCAAGTAATATCTTTCAGCCTTAGTCCCCGTCCTATAAAACAAGTGTACACTATGAATGGTATCCAATTGAATAGAGTGGAATATGTCTGAGACCTGGGCGTTCATTTAGACCATAAATTTACTTTTAGTCACCATATTGACACCATCACCAGTAAAGCCAATAAATCACTTGGTTTCGTAATGAGAATTTGCTCTTCATTCCGTGATCCTGTGTGTATTAAAAACCTGTACTTCTCATATGTGCGCAGCATACTTGACTTTGCATCTACTATTTGGTCACCTAACTACAAAAAGTATATAAATGAAATAGAAGAGATACAAAAGAAATTTACAAAATTTATTAACTTCAAAACCTTTAAATCATTTTCATCTTACAATGACAGCTGTAAGATTAATAATCTCTTGCCCTTGGAACAAAGAAGGATACTTTTGGATATGTTATACTTGTATGATATCTTAAACTCAAATATTGACTGCCCCGAACTGATAGGTGGCTTGGGACTTAATGTTCCGAAAAAGCGAACACGTCACACTTGTCTCATACACGTGCCTAACCATCGCACTAATTATGGACAAAATGAAACTCTGTCACGCATAGGGTACATTTATAATAAATTTTTTGCGGACCTGGACCCTTTCAAATTTAATAAAACGCGTTACAAACTTAAAATAATCCAAAAAATTGGTGAAATCCTTTACATATTTTAATTTATACAAAAGCTCTCGCGCTTTTCTATCATAATTATAATTATGACAGTACACACACTCATGTAAATACATTTATAAATCCACACACACACACTCAAACACACACACATACACTACACAATAACACATACACACAACATACATAACATATCGTTACAACCCAATACCTTTTTGGCAAACCAGCTACCATCTTTTGTTACTAAAATTGATAATATTATAATATTATTATTTAATAATAACTTAATAAGTTTATTTGTCAATGAAATATCACTGATACCGACTACCACTTTTGTTAATATGGGGCGATCTGTTATTGGCCTTACTAATAAACACTATTTACTCTGTTTTATATACTTAAGAAACGCTGTTGATTGTCTGAAATAAATAAATAAATAAAAAATAAAAAAAAAAACATCCAGCACGAGTGTTTTCCTAAATATCAGGGAGTAAGGCTGGGCAGAACACTCACCTATAAGTCGTACTGTCAAAAGACCAATGAAGGTCAGCTCACACAATGTCTTCCTTCGACGTCTAACATTTATGAATTGGGGAACAGCGCCAGATATCCTACAAATTACGGGCTTTGTCCGGTATGGCATAGGTTTGCAAATGCTAGGCTTGTTTTAGTGCTTAAAGAAACGGTACGGAGAGGAGGAACACCCCGGGGGCTTGGCGCGGTCAGGCTGCTCCCCTTCGGGGTTCAGCCCAGTCCCACAAAACCCCGGCTTTGCCCCCGTAGGGCCGGGGTAACTGTAAGCAGATTCCCTCGGGTAATAAAAAAAAAGGGTTTCAAGGTTGCTAGTCTAATCCAATGTGACTGCAATGCCCAAACAGTCCATGCAACCCTTGCTGTTGGGCCCCATGTGCCCTAATATCTGTACGAGGGAAGATCTCAACGCGGCCACGGATTTAAAAAAAATCCAGTAACGGGGCGAACAAGTCGTGTTCTTGATGGTAAGCTACATACCTGTCCATAACTGTTGCAGTGCTACTCACAAATTTAAATCGCAAAGATCTGAAGGGCACTGCCACTGCGCCCGTCACCCTGAGACATAAGTTGATAAGTAGTAAGAATAAATAAAATATATGTAAGTGAAGTAAAATAAATTCAATACGATAAAAAATATTCATCACGATTTCCTTGAAAGATATGCAAATACCCTATAGAATATTTTATTGATTTATTTATTTATTAAAGAAAATCAACGGCCTATTAAAATCAAAATATACTTATTATAAGTATATTAAATCTATTTTATTCAATAAAATGTTATAAGCTATAATGCTATAAACAATTCTATCAAAATCCGATAGATGGCATTGACCCATTTTATGCAAATACTGACTCGAAGTGTTAAGATTTTCCCTCGAATATTAACTACACCAACTGAATATTGATTATGTGAAAGGCTTGTAACCGTTCCGTCACCATCTAGTCGAATTCTGCCTACATCCCTCGACTGTAGACAATCCAAAACAGATTCATGCTCAATGTGATGGTGCCCTGTGGTACCAGCGCAACGCTATCCTTCACGGCTTCCTACAATTGCCCAATTCATGAAATAGGTATTGCAAA